AGACTCACCGTGATGCAACCAAGGTGCGAAGTGTTCGTTCAACCGTTTGTATAAGTGATTCACCGTTAGATCGATGTACGTTGCGCCACAGACGCACTCGAACTGATAGATAACCATAGAGGCATTAGCATTGGCAACTTGGCCTCGTCTTATAAACAGATGTGTGGTTTCGATGAAAACGCGCATTTTAGCGCAACTGCTGTGAAGGTCGACTTAACTGCGGTCGAAAGACATAGTTAACCGTTCGGTAGCTACATACCCTTTGAAAAGTAGCCGTGTGAATAGCTGTTTGCCATTGTTGATACTAACAATGATCCAAGTTCTTTTATATAAATCTGTCGGGATATCCATTTCCACGCAACGTATTCTGTATGAAAACCAGTTTCGCATCCAGTGTGTCTACTGAGAGATTCGAGGTGTGCTCGAGGTATTACAGTGGATCAAGGTGCGCTTATATATCTGAGGAACGAAAGTGCAGAAACTTGTCTACAGACAAATCCACGTCGTTTTTCCGCAGACGTGCCACTGGAATGAGCCATCTGGTCTCCCAGTTAACAAGAAATTAAAATACGGCGTCTGATTACCGGCTTCTTTTTCATAAATAAACTGCAGTTATCCATAGACTCGATTAAAGCGGTCAAGAATTGCATTCAACCTATTTATCTACCACAAAAATATGTCTTCCATGTAGTGATGGCAGGGTTCAAAAGCGTTTATCTCCGTCTGCATTGTGATTCGCTCTAACTGTCATGATAATACCCGCTAGCAGCAGATTGATGAGTGATGTCTTACAGTTTGCGCCAATTTTTGTAAATCGGTCCATAATCGTACGAAGGAAAGTGCAGACAGCATCCACGGAACACGTCAATAAAGGCCACTGAGAGAAAATCTACTAGCCATCCTGTTAAGTATGTCATGTACATGCCAAATTTGCAAGTTATTAATGGTCTCAAGTACAAAGTTGTACAATAGGATGTACCGAATATTCATCAACGCATAGCTTGGGGATTGTTTCGATCAGAACTCCAACCGAAGACCCAGGATGCTGTCAATTTGTTTAGAAATAAACTGAATGATATCACTCATGAGGTGCTGATGGTACAGGTGAGCAAAAAAGGTGCGCTCACAAGCCGACACTTGCAAGCGTTACAAGAGCTGAAGAATAAGGGATTGATTGTATTGAAGCCATATAAAGGCTCGGGCGCAGTAGTCATGAAAACGACTACATTGAGAAAATGTTGGGTATGCTGAGCGAGGGAAGGAAATTTCAAAGCATCGATCGACCGGAGAGACTGTCACAGCTCGCATCAGTCGCCATCTAGAATTGTTCCTATTACATAGCGTCATCGACCACCAGAACCACATGAACCTCAAGCCGAATGGTCCGTCAACACCACAGCCGTACCGGTTGCCAAAGGCGCACAAGCGATTCCATGCAGAACAATTTTAAGAACGGTGAAATCTCCCCAGCATAAATGAGCGCGTTAGTTAGTACGAATCTTAGCGCTGCTAAGATAACATGTCAGCCTACACGGTCCTAAGGAATTCTTCAGACTGAATGAAGACCTCGACGTCCTTTTTGAACGTACAATCGTTGTTCACTAATGTCCCTCTGATCGAGACAGTCGATTACATATGCCAGCTGATTGATGCCGAAAAATTGTGTACAAATACCGACACACTTGCTCAGACTCTGCGCAGATAACGTCGCATTCCGTTTCCAACGATCCTTTTACCGTCAAATCGGTGGAATAGCTATGGGCAGTCCGTAACGCTCCATGATAGTGCTAGAAAGTATCATATGGCTATGACATTATCGTGTTCGGTTCAACGAAGCTGCAAATTAAGCACCTGTTGCACCAGCTTGATAGCGTCCATGACAATTTAAAAGTTACTCATGAATTCGTGATGAATAACCACACGCCGTTCCTGAACATTTTCATCAGTCAGAGGGATACCGGGCTCGTTAAGCAGTTCGTCTAGGGCAGGGGGTCTAAACTTTTTGCAAGAAAGGTTACATTTTGTGAGGTAAATATATGTCGAGCCATATAAAGTCTGACATTAAGATAATCGCAAACATTACACGTAGGAAAAAAGTCCAAGCTTGAATTTATTATTTCACGAGGAGGCAATAGGCCAGTTGTAATTTTAACACGGCCGCATTTGGCCCGCGGGTCGGACTTTGGACACCCCTGGTCTAGGGAGAACAACATGGTCTGGTGAATATCTGCGCTTTAAAAGTTTCACACCGATGGGTCACAGGCGTGCACGGATGAAAGCTTTATTCACTCGGGTCAGACATATTGCTTTGGGAATTTGCCTGACTGAACAGATAGATAATTACCAGAACGCTCATGGAAAACAGTTACTCTAGGCGCCTCACCGTGTAGCATACGCAGGTCAGATCACCGAAGGAAACGGAGTTGAAAGCATCTAAGAAAAAAGAGCAACATCGCCACGACGAGGACAACCAAGTGCGTTGCCGTTCAGAGAACCTACTGCAACGCGATGTATTAAATAAATAAATTTGTATATTTGCCGACGGACGGTACAAGGCCCCATAAGTGGGAGCGATCAACAGAACTCGGAAACTGTTGTAAACAGGAACCCATAGGCTGAAAATCACAACGGCTTGAACAATTTGTGTGCAACTGTGGAGTCAGTTATAAAGGCAGAAACTACAGGGTTTTAAATGCCAGAGTGGAGCACTTGCTTAACTGGGTTCAGTGTGAGATAAACCAACATTCGCCCAATATTCAGTGTTCACGCAAGTCGCCAGCGTCATCAATAGGCAGGTATATTTTGGAGAAAGGCCATCGGATTGACTTCAACTACGCGTTTCGGATTTCATTACGACATCATAATCCACGCTTCTTGCGGTTCGCCGAGGCCATGGCGATAAGCCAGCCCTGGATGCGCAAAAGCAATCAGTTGTTGACCTTCAGTGGCCCTAGTTCTAGGACCACCGCCGCCGCCGAACTCGCTACCATTGATTGGTTCAGTAACACTTCTGAACTGTGTACAAATAATTGCTTGTTATTTGTTAGGACTGATGAACTAATGTAAAATGTGCGCACCTATCGGTGGTCGTTTGCTCAGTGTCATTCAAGTTGCGGATTTGTCAGGAAAATCGTAACGCTACTCACCATGAACCAATGCACGCCGGGAAGTGGGCAGAAACACATGGGAAACGTAACATTCTAGACTTTTCCGGTCGTTCGAAGGCAGATATACTAACCACAATGATTTAATCTAACAAAAGAACTGCGCACGGTGTTACCTGCCTTTTACGCTCCAGAATATTAGTGTACGATCACAAGTCACCAGCGCCGAGTTCTTTACCTTTCTTGACTCAAATGTTTTAGAGGCGATACAATTGTGGAGCTATCAGTAAGGAAAACGTTTCCAGCTGCGGTGTATCTTTGCTACCAAATCGTTTATTCCTGTGTACAATAAGGACAGATCGGCGACGCTGACCTCCTCTTACATAATCTATCGACTTGAGCGCCCCCTGTGGGTCGAACTACTCGTCAGTTTTCAAATCGCGGAATTTTGTACCATCTATTCGTATCCGGTCACAGGGTTAATCGTCCGAATGCAGTTACTGTGGTTTAACTGGTCCCTTTGAGCAAGTCGAAAGGTCTGCATCTACGAATACTCGCCATCACAAAAGCTATTGCGATCCGAATATTCCAACCTCCGCTATGCTCGCAAAAGAAGTTTGTTCAATCGTTAAGTCAGCCCTAGCCGAACAGTAGTCAACCTAGCCGTCACTCTGACACCAGTGTCGTCAGTTTGATTACGCAACCCCTATCGAGCTGTCTGTGTGTGTGTGTGAGTGGAAGAAAGTGACCATATGCCGTCTAACCATTGACTTACATCTGAACCAATCACCGTGCGTTAACCTACGTATTTTAACCCTATATGATTTGTACCAGCCCAAAGAATCACTGAAAAACAATTGTCTTGGACTGGTGTTCCTTGTGTTACTAAACACGCGTAGATGTCAGACGCGTACTGTGTGAGTGCTGCCGCCTGTGGCCATCGAGTGGTGATCCGAAGAGCGTAGCGCTTTGTGCACAACTGTTAAATGATGTTACACGAATAACCATATTGTCATAAACCCGTATCGGTGATTTTATTTGAGCGTGAAGAGGATATCGAGTTTCTTGAAATTTTCAGTCTTGGGTAAGTTTCTGTGGGATATGGCTTTAGTACTTGCGTCCAGCTCCCTTAACAACCACTGTTCTTCGGCCGTATTATGAAGCGGGATTCTGTTAAACGGGAAGATGTCCTCATACAGCTGCACTAGGTTATGAAAGCTGTGTAATTACCTGCGGCATATCGGAAATTTTGCATTCCACTTGGCAAGGAGATAGCTGAAATGGACTCTGTCTTTATGGTAGCGGATATCTACCCGGTCCATGAGAACTACTGTTCCAGGCAGTTTCTGTGCGGTCGATTAATCCGGCCCAAAAAAGAAGGGTCTTGTTGGTGAGCCGCAGGATATTCGTCTAGCTGAAAGACACTGTTGAACTGTGTAGCGTTGCCCGGGCATTGGGACGAATAGTGCAAAAATAAACAGATACCCATAGGACTGGTTCTAGACAGATTAACAGTTATATGCTCAAAAGAGTGACTTGTTCTACTTCTCCAAATGACATAAGATGGACACTGATGGTGACACATGATTGGACGAACAAAAAACGATTGGCTAGTGAATGTGACTAACACGACTGCGTTCGAGCTGTGAAAGATCACCCTCAGAAGTGCACTCTCGCATGTTCCTCACTCGGTATTCTCCTCGTTTCATTTGTTGTATGCAGGCTAAGCTGGATGTAGTAAGCCTAAGTTGCAGACATACCAAGTGATTTGATGTGAGCGCTTCATGCAATGTAGAACGGAAATGGAAGCGGGATTATGTTAAAAAACATTTTTACACATTATGTACAGGTGACAACTATGATGAACAGGTTATAAGTGATTGCAATGTCATGCAGTCATTGTGCTTTATACTCCGTTTTGTTCAGAGCTGCTGCCATCCGTGCATAGCGCATTCGGCTCGTGGCTGGGGAAGAGCAAAGACTGAAAAACCAAGCAACAACTGAGGGCACCAAACCTAGTTCCAAAAATTCCGTAAGACCAAAACTGAATCCATCCCCATCACCGCACCACAATTCATTGCCCCGTGGACTAACGCGTGGATTGGTGAAATATGTGAATCGGCCAGAGCGAACCAAAGAAGTTTGTTTATGTGTCTGCCCTTCTGATGCGTTCGAAACGACAGGAAGATAGTAACCTAAATGAAAAATGGAAAAGAGCACATATAAGACTACTGATAAAAGAGGAAAAACGTGACGATCAGCTCAAAACAGTGTCTGATTATTATTCTGAAATACAACTACATTTAATTAGAAGTCGCTAGAACATTATGCTTGGTTGAACACAAACTTTGACTGTAGCGTGGATCACAAAACCATGAAAATTTTAACCTGGGGGTGGGCTATGCGTTTGGTTAAATTCCGCAATAACAGCACATCCAAATTCAGTGGATTCTGTTACATTGAGACACCACCAGAAAGGAATAAAAGGACATGTAGTTAAGAAACAAAAGGAAGATTGTAAAATCCACTAAACTACCAAGTACATATCAAATAACGTTTCAAGCAAAGCATGTCTATCCCGGTTTAAGGTTACAAGCTACAAGTGGATTCAGTTTTACGAACCTGACATTCACGTATTAATTATGCGTTATTAAGTGGCCAGTCCGGGGTACTACAAAAAAGTACTTTAACTTACCTGAGCTTGTGAAAATCAATTAATTTAAGCGCACCATTTCCCTGCAAACTTGAAAAGTTGCCTACTCCATTTCATTGTTATTCTATCGCTAATGTAAGTCGCACTTGGGTACTGTTTCAGTATGAAATGATTCGCTACTAACTCAGTGCAATGCAGTATCTTTATTGCACTTATCTAAGACAGAAGAGTCACATGTAACCTATCTTTTAGTGGGCTTAGTTAACTCGGTATTTCGCGATTACTTCATGTGTTGTCTACTACACTTTTGGACCCTTCGTGACCTATGATACCCTTGCTAGCTTCTAAAGTGGATTCCAGTATGGTGACACACCGAGAGGAAGAGCATCTTCCTCTTCGTATCATTATTCGCCCGTGATTCACATCACTGTGTAAGCTCCATGGTATTGCTCACCAGACTATGCGAAGCTGCCGCTATTCCTTTGTCTATTTACATTCTGTGCCTTGAAATCGATTGGTAGATTACATGACCCTAGCTCGATCAGGTGCCCGATAGTAACTAGCACGACGCTTAGAGAGCCGGTGCATCGCTGGATAAGAGTGCAGTCCATCCATGATCTTATTCGCATTTGGCGTGCGCGCGGTTTCCGAGTGAATTGAGTTGTTGATACGGATCAATGCTGTGACAAATTATTGAATATATTTCCAGTTCGGTGGGTACGCGTGAATCAAACGGTTACCAGCGCTTAGCCGCTTACAACAGGCAAAGTGCAAACTTTGACAGTGGGAATACAACGCTCAACGATTTTCTCTCGTGTGACCACGTCGGACCATGTGTCCGAAGAGAAATCGCACTGGAAAATCCGTGACAAGTGAACAATCCCGACAGTTAACTGACTAGCGAGTGTTGTGATGTCAACAGTTCATGTTCCGCTCTACAAGTTAGTGATGAGAGTGAGCATAGCTATTTTGCCCGTTGTTTATCAGCCATACTGAAGTGGTCTGCGCTTATGAAAACGCAGGTACTAAGAGGATTGTAGGCGGAAGCGCAGAGACGCATAACAGAAGTTGAATTAGACATGGCTAATCTTCTGGGCAGATAAAGAAAAAGGTAATGCCAACAGTAAAGGTAGCTCAATGTCCTAGTATATTACATCGAAAAGGAATCGGCGCATAGCGACAATTGCTTACGAGCACCGAATGGCTGCACCCGAGACGTACGATGCAGAGCATTAGTAACTAGCTTACGGCCATAGCAGAGTACACAGCTGTATATGAGCACTGTTGAGTAGTTGGAGGACAGCCATGCTACGTCTTGGACATTTGCAAAACAGTGCGAACACTGTTTGGAAAGCCGAATGTTTGGCAGTGGGCAGCGGGACTTAGTTGATGTAGTACTGCGGTTGTTGTCGCGCTAAAGATGCCATATGTGGCGAACATGTGATATTACCACCTGTCCATGCTTAAGGTTGCGCAAAATACATCCTTTGAGAATCCGCACGAAGGTCGGATAGTCGATGATCGGACCGGTCCAGTCTTACGCGGCGCTCCGCGACACAGAGAGCCTGGAGTGAACAACCCATCGCATTCACACGCCGTGCGATCTCATCCAACAGATTCGTAAGCCCGACTTCACATCTAGGAGGCAGCACCTCCATACACACTACTTTACTCTACCTATTGTTTATTTATCATTCTACCTGTTAACCATCCTGATGGTAGTTGCTTCACTATTCTTATATAGGTGTGATACAAATATTGATGCACAAGATTTAACACTGTCAGTTTTAGTCACGTCTAAATATTAAAGAAAACATCGACAATTCGTATTGGGTACTTATTCACGTACGTGCGATTCCCCATCATTTGGAAAAATAGCTGTTAGTGTTACCTCCAAACCAAACCCATGCACATTTGTAGCACTATTGTTTATGAGGTCAATCCTGTCTCTATACAGTTTGTGATAGTTCATGCGTAAATTGGGACAAACGCAGATGTTCCATTCGAACTGCCATTGGCTAAGGATGGTGCCAATCCATGTCTATATGCTTACCGAATGAATATGACGAGGACACTCATACGGCTTTTGCACGGCCAACTTAGTGCAGGGAAGCTGTACGGGGGCAAACCAGAATTACATTACCAGGACATGAAGAAGGTGAGTTCAATACGAACTAATGTTTTCAGGTTTTGGGAATCAAAGGCAGTGTTGACCAGTGCGAATTCCGAGGGCTGATCACAAGTGGGCGGCTGAACATATGCAGAAGGCCCTACTGCACGCGGAGGAAAAGTGCAATGAGTCCGTTCCCATTCGATTTACTAATACGGATATATGTGGTACGTTAGCCTGCGTAATGAGTAATTTTGCATTTCAGGAGTTGGGAGTTGATTGAACACCCAGGTGTGGCTGCGCCTGATGTGAATGATGACAAGGTGCTTACCTGTTTAACACCATCCACCTCGTTCATATTGGTTCCAGGAGACAGTTGGTCGTTGCGGGAGGGGACGGAGCGCACTGTCGCCATGACGGTGGTAGGTTCAAAAAGTGGTTCCATCCTGTGTGGAACTGGCTAAGACCCAGCCACGGACTTGTGTACGTCTAGTGCGTATCATTTCCCAATAAGGCAGGATGCATCTGTTCTGCTTGTTGAAGGAGTGTGGGCCGGCTCCTTTGATGAAACGAGGCTCCCATACACATGCTTCCCGATCTAATTCCTTCAGGTTTACACCGGATATGGGGTGTGTGAGCGGAACGGTGGGTGGTGCAGCGCAAGCCACCCATGGTCCCACTGTAGGCGCAGGTGTCTGGTGGCTGGCAAGTGAAAGTGTCCCCTCACCAGAAATCCTGACACAGCACAGCAGTGAATTTTGTTATAATCCGGATGCTGGCGTAACATTCGCTTCCTGGTTTCACAAGCACGAAGACATGTTTCGTGCTGATTTCGCAAATGTAACCGAAGAGAAGAAAATTGGCCTGCGGCTCCGGAAGCTGGGTGCGGCTGAATAAGAAGAGAAGAGCACTGACCTATCCATTGACGAAGTTGTCTCAGTCCTATCACAAATTTTTCGATGAGCAGACATCCTTGTTCAACATTCGGTACAAGTGTCTCACGATGGCCAAGAAAAAAGACGAAGATTGGGTCATCTGCTCGAGCCGTGTAAATCGCGAGTGCGAGCGTTCACAGCTTCACAAGATGACCGACGACCAGTGCAAGTGCCTCATTTAAGTTTGCGGCGTACAAGCAGCTCAAGATGCAGACGTACGAACAAGAATACTGAACAAGATGGAACAGAACCTTGATGTCACGCTGCAGCAGATAACCAGTGAATGCCCAATCTGAAGCATGATACGTAAATCATTCAGCATCTGTCTAACTGCAACGATCACGACCTGGACTGTGCAGTTAACCGCAGCCCGCATGATGAATCAACTCATGAGAGTCCTTCAGATTCTAAACCTCCTTCTGTTTGTTGGTTTTGCAGGGAATGGTACTTCAGTCGAAACTGCCCGTTCCGGAATCACATTTGCAATCGCAGTGGTAAAAGAGAGCACAAAGAGTCATGTTGCTTGGCAAGTCGTCCCAGTTGACCAGGAAGAAGCAAAACAATGCTATACCGTCCAGACATCCCAATGTGACCAGATCTGTCACTGCCACTTCCAAAGTTGATGAGCTCATCAGACGTAATTAAACGGCGGTGGAAATCAAGTCAAGTTGCAGCTGGATGCCGCTTCAGATACAACCCTGATTTCCGTGATAAGTGGTGCACACTCGAGCGTCCGTCACTGATACGAACGTATCAAACAGGACACAGTGCGTCAGAAGGTCTGTTGAAGTTGTTTGGTCAGTTGAACTGTCAAGTCAAAATATCAAAATATCCGTACATGTTTTGTGACAGAGAAGCTGGGGTCTCGACTGTAACATGAGTTGAAATTGTTAGACCAATTAGTGAAAAGTATCTATCAACAACCGCAAATCAATCAAGTGTTACTAACATCATTCCCAAGCCGATGGGTTCAGAGTCACAGTCCAGAGATGAGACGATGGCATACGGAGAAAAATCGAGCACACCGGGTCATTCATTTCAAGATTGGTGACATGAAGAACGTGAGAGATTTCCGTCGGCCGAGGACGTGGTCGACAGAATCAATGATGGGCACAAAATGGTGCAGTCAATTGCGAAATAACGGTTGAAAGCAAGAAATGTATCATGCACGCAGATCAGCGGAGGCCGAACTCATGGGCACGCAAACAACATACAACGAAGACCAGCCAGAAGGAGAAAAACGCCAAGATAACTGACTGAGGTCAAGAAAAAAACATCTGCATTGAAGCAAGCATGCGTGGTGAGGAAAATGCTTTTAATTTGGAGGTGTCACGGAAGCGAAACGGCTGATTACAATGGTGCACTCCAGCAGAGTGAGATTAGCCAGTTCAACTGAGCGGCTGACGGGCTCGTTGTCATGGTCAAACCGGAAGCTGATGAAATCAGTCCGTCAGCATGACACGGGTTGCTATCCGGCCGGTAACAGCACGGGTAAGT